TGGTCACACTGGTCACGTTGGTCACACTGGTCACGTTGGTCACGTTGGTCATGTTGGTCACACTGGTCACACTGGTCACGTTGGTCACACTGGTCACACTGGTCACGTTGGTCACACTGGTCATATTGGTCACGGTGGTCACGGTGGTCACGTTGGTCACACTGGTCACACTGGTCACGTTGGTCACACTGGTCACGGTGGTCACGTTGGTCACACTGGTCACGTTGGTCACGGTGGTCACGTTGGTCACACCGGTCACGTTGGTCACACTGGTCACACTGGTCACGTTGGTCACACAGTTTATTTTTAATTCTGGTTTCACATGTCATATTGGCTGACAACTGTTGTGTTTTGGTTTCAGGGCATTCGAAGTATTCTTAGAGTAGAAAGTGTGGAAGAGGAATCACTTCTTGTTGACGTTGATGACGAAGATATTACCAATTCGGATGTGCGCAGTTGGATGAAACAACTGAAGGTCGATCCAAAAAGTATTTGTTTTGAGCATATTCGTGCTCTTGATGTCGATGCCAGGGGAGCTGCTTCCGATAAGAAAGCAGAAGAGAAGGACAAGAAAAAGAATCGAGAAGAAGAAGAAGAAGATGACGAAGAAGAGGAGGAAGAAGGAGAAGAAATACAAAGAAGAGAACAAGAACAACATGGAAGAAAGAAACAAATAAAAAAAGGAAAAAAAGAAGAAGAAAAATTTTCTGAAAGGAGATTGATGGAGGCGATTAAGGCCTCTGAATTGAGGATCATAAATTCAGTGAAGGAGATGATGAGGAAAGCAGGATTTCCGGTTGATGAAGAACCTTTTCAGGGGGTTGGTGATGAGGATGTGCGTACTCCCCGTTCACAGATACAGGGAGATGGGGGTGAGGGTGAAGATGTGGATAGAAGCTCATCAACGAGTGATTACGACGCCGGTAAGGATATTCCTTACCATTTTAAAGCTCGGGTTGAGGTTGGGCGTAGTGAAGAAAGTGATGACGAGGGCTCCGAGGGGGTGTCTAATACTCCTCCCAGAACTGTGGAAGGGGGGGTTGCGAGTCCAAAGGTCCATGAAGGAAACCCTATGGAAGTGGACTTTGTTACCCAAGACATTGAGGATGTTACTGCCCACGTCTCCGAGGACCCTGCTGCCCAAGCCACCGAGGATGCTCCTACCCTCATGTCCGAGGACCCTACTGCCCAAACCACCGAAGACGATTCTGTTCACGTCTCCGAGCACCCTGCTGCCCAAGCGACCGAGGATGCTCCTACCCTCGTGTCCGAGGACCCTACTGCCGAAGCCACTGAGGATGTTGCTGCCCACAAACCTGAGGCCACCGAGGATGCAGTTGCTCATGTCTCCAAGGACCCTACTGCCGAAGCCACTGAGGATGTTGCTGCCCACAAACCTGAGGCCACCGAGGATGCAATTGCTCATGTCTCCAAGGACCCTACGGCCGAAGCCACCGAGGATGTTGCTGCCCACAAACCTGAAGAGCCTGCTAATATTGTCATTGAGGACTCTGCTGCAGTGGCCCCTGATGACAAAGCATCCGTGGACCCTGCTAACATTCCTATTTCCCAGCCTGCTATTGCCCTAACT